ATTAATATAATAAATTTGGTTGCTCGTAAAAAATCGCAACTCTTAAAAAAATTATGATTGTTGAACTCCTTTTGGGTGTAATTTTCTGCGGTAAGTGCAACTCTGCCACCCTGGTAAGCATTGTTCAATAATTCGATTTGATGCAAGCTTGTACCTGATCTGCCCGAATAACCAATGGCAACCAATAAATAAATGCTAATTTCTAATGTAGACTGTAACCAATGGCAACTATAAATAAATAAAAATAAAATTTCCAATTTCTATCGTGAATCTCAATGTCCCTGTTTCAGCACCTATTTAAAATGCGAATTTTGGCAAATCCTTTCTTAGCGCACGTCTATATTATAATAGCTATCTGTATGCCAAATTTCAGCCAGATCCGTCCAATGGTTTGAGCTGTGCGTTGATAGCAGTCAATCAGCTTACTGTTTTTTATATACAGATATGGTTGCCATGGTAATATGGACACACACACACACACACACACACACTGACATACATTCATTTTTATATATATAGATTGATATGAAATCTTGGTAACCTTAGTAACCATGGCAACCTTGGTAACCATGGTAACATGGACACACAGACACACAGACACACTGACATACATTCATTTTTATATATATAGAAGATATTAAGTATAAATGTATAATTTATCTTCTATGTATTATTAAATTTCTGACCCAATTCAAATATTTCGCTAAACAATGATAATACTGGCTAGGCATTTATGTTATTACCTACCTAATTTACATGATTGACGGTAACATAGTATACCTAGGTAACATTACAAAAGTTTTCGTGGTGGGTGTACGACAATTCTAATAGCCACAAAATCAATAAAAAAAATAAACAATATTATATTGATGTATAGGTACAGCAGGTAGATAATTATGTTAATTATTCTATGGTATTACTGTATTAGCTTTCAATGTTGTATTGTTGTGTGAATTTAAAATTTTCTGTAAAATATATAATGAAAGAATATGACCTATAAAACGTATTATCGAAATTAAGTTTTTTGTTTAACATAATATAAATAATATAAATATAATTATTATGCTATTCAAGTTATGTTGTTTTATATTTAAAGATTCCAATCAGAAGCAGTTCATACCAAGCCCGATTTAAAATTTAATTTCAACTAACCTAGGTGCATAATTTTTTTTTATCAACGATTAGCGCTAGTCATTGAAAACAACAATTTAAAAATAATCAAAATTTAAAACTATTGAAATTTAATAACATAGACCGGCTAAACACTCATACGCGTTTTGTTCGTTGTCCAGGAGACTTCATGTAATGTTTATTCTATGTTTGTTTGCGAATTTTTGTCGACAGTATAGTTGGTGTTTCTTGGCAATAATTGTTTTCGTACAAAATTATATTTATTTTTTTCGTGCCACTTTATTACAGTAATAGTTCAATAGCATAGGCGTGCGCACGGGTAGGGCTGATTGGGCTTTAGCCCTACCTGAGCTTTTTTATACGTGGATGGGTTGGTACCTTATGAAGACATGACTAAAAGTAGGTATATAGCATTTTTAGATTTTAAACGTTTGTTTTTACCCGAGAGACTAAACAGGGCGATTTATTTAAAATTAAACACTCATTATTTCAAAAAGTGTGAATGTTTTTGAAAATATTTTTTTACATAGTTTTGAGTCGCTTACAAAACAACTTTGTTATTAAAAAATTATATTTTTTATCCTTCTAACTTTTTTTGACAACATAGAGTTTGAATTTCATATGCCAAAGTAGAATATTTTTCTAAGTATTTCGATACATAAAAATCTAATTTAGTGCGAGTAGTCTTTGCGTTATAAGTATTTAAAGTTTAGATGAGCTGAGTTGAGTGGTACGGGGTTACCCCGCAAAATGTATGTCCACTACTCAGCTCAACTAAATTTTAATATTTATATCTCTAAAGTTGATTTAAAATGAATAATGTTAATTGACAATTTTTAATATTATATATAGAACGTTTTTGAATAAATTGTTTTATTGGATTATATTTGATTAAAATTTAAATAAATATTGATGAATTTTGTATGTTTGAAATAATGAAAATTGATTGCTTACATTTTCTAGTAACCAACCAAAGGGTCACATAAAAGTTTGTGGTCAAATGTAAAAATGTCTATAATTTTTTTCTTGTGTGACAATGACAAGGGGGTGGGTGATCACTGATCAGATTTAATTTAGCCTTACCTGACCCAGAGGTCTGAGCACGTCTATGTTCAATAGTTATTAATTTGTATACATTTTTTTGTTAATACGTGATTTAAAAATTGTTCGAATTAATTTTAGTTTGGAAATAACTACTACTAGTACGATAAATAGTAGTATTAAATGTGGAATGACGAATACGAAGGATATCATGAATGTGCTTACGGTAATTGAAACTTCAGTAGCATTAGAGCCCAACTTGTAATTGCAAAAAAATCTTAATGAAGCACTGAGTGTCTGAGTCCAGATCCAGACAACACCAATTTTTTTTTTAAATTAACTAAATTTTGCAGGCTAGTATCTGTATATTAAATACTGCAATGTTCAAAATTCTCGAAAAAAGCATTGATACCCGATGGAGGTAGTTTCTGGATAAAATAAATTATTTTTTTCGCCCTATCAAACTGGTTGTCGCAAACATCGAAGCACATACAAGTATACAAAAATCTACACATCATTGAAAATGAAAATTTTAAAAACCTTCGAAACCAAACCATTTCTAGGTCTAGTCCCTGATATACCAAAAGCATTTAAGCATATTATTATGACACTACCTGGCGCCCTCGGATACTACTGGATACAGTTTCTCTGCACCAAAATATCACAAATTGAAACTTCAGTATCATTTGAGCCCAGTTTGAAATCGCAGAAAATATTGATGAAGCACCGAGTCCAGATCCAGACAAAACAAATATTTTTTTAAATATTTAAAATTAACTAAATTGTACAGGCCACCATATAATATATACTGTTAAATATGAGGTTGGCCAGACTGCCCTAGCTGGACACTCTGGTGCTGACTGCTGAGCAGAAATATTTTTAGTATTATAGTCTCGACTAGACGCTAGTCAGCAACCGTTGTTCCTTTAAAAATGAATTAATAAGGCTATGTTGTTGAGATTTACATTGTGAATATAAATAGTAATTGTAAGTTAAAGGAGTGTTTGTTTGTTCTTTTATTGTTTATTTAATAATACTAAATACAATGCTCAAAATTCTCGAAAAAAGCTTTGATCTCGGTTGAGATGGTTTCTCGAAAAAATTAATTTTTTTTACCCATAAGTAACTGGTTGTCTCAAACATCGAATCACACACAAGTATACAACAATCTACACGTCATTCAAAACGAAAATTTTAAGAACAACCAAAACCAAACCAGTTCTAAGGCTAGTTTCCCTCGATCTACCAAAAGAATTTTAATCATAGAATGACACTACCTGGCGCCCTCGGATACCACTGGATACCTTATCTCTGCTCCAAAATCACAAATTGAAACTTCACTCTCATCAGAGCCTAGCTTGAAGTCGCAGAAAATCTTGATGAAGCACCGAGTCCAAATCCAGACAACACCAACATTTTTTTAAATATATAAAATGAACTTAAATTGTACAACCTAAAGTCACAGGTGAAATTGTATGTATGTATTATAATCGTACTATAGAGTATAAACCATAATTGATATTGCGGCTTAAATAAAAACAAAAAATATATAATTCACTATTATTTACCTAAATTACTCAGTACTAGGTACCCTACACATATTTTAAAATTTTACTAGCAGGAGATAGATTCATATCCCGCAACAGAATTAAAAAATATATGTATAGAGTATAGTCTGTAGTAAACACAAGGGTTTTAACATTTTATGAAATATTTCATTTTTATGAAAATAAAAATAAAATGTTTATTATAATATCTAAAAGTTTATATTCATCAACTGGTGAACATTTTTAAGAGTTAGTTTATATAGTATGAAACAAAGAAAATATGTAATATATTTACATATAATTTATAAGTTGTTTAACAAATCTATAATACTTATATTAAATTATATGATCTAAGTATTAAACAATGAGCCCAGAGCACTTTCACATCAGTCAGCCACATACACACACATATATTATACGACTTTTGTACACTTTATAATTACTGAAAATACACTATTATTTCATTCACTGTTGGAATTGACATCAACATTATTTCAAACCATCATTATCTTTTGGATCGCTGACGGTCCGCATAGGTACGTCATACAACAATATTTTAAAACTCATGTAAAAAATTATTCTCAAAATAATGCCAGGAATATTTTTCAGTAGGTACTACATAATATGTATAATATCTATATTATAGAATATACAAATATAAAATAATAAATCAACAAAAATAATATGTTTACCAAATAATCATTTGATTCAGAATTATATAAAAAAATTTAAATCTATATCTTTTTTCCACTGAAATTCAAAAAATGCGTGATGTTTTCTACTTTTCAAGTGAATTTTTTTCTTTTTATACATTTTTAAATAAAAATCATGGCTTGAATAATACAAAGTTGACTTAAATTATAAAAATAATATGTTTTTAAAACTATTATCGGTGTAAAACTGGAATCAGCATATACGCGGTGTGGAATGCGTATAGGTGTATTTTTCTCAAAAAAAAAACAGTACTTAGTAGCTAGTGTGGAATCTCCCGAATGGTGAATTCGTTATTTTTACTCGGAAATGTGTAGAAAAATGTATTTAGCAATTACCGTCACATGCAAATACGTAAAATAAACGCCTAATATATAATACTCGAGTGTTCGCTGTTGAGACGATCGTTTGTAAAAATGTTGTACTGAAATATTGAAACATAACATGACATAATATTATTACTTATTACATCGTGCGGCTATCTCGTCGACGTGCCAGTTGTAATTACATACCGTCGTTTGTGTGCGCGCGCCCCCGTATATATGTTGCGCAACAGGTGATGATGAAGAAATGTCAGCACCGGTACACGATGACGTGCCTGAAACTGGACCTGGTCCGACTGATCGACTGGCTGGGCACGGCCTATCAGCTGGTTCCTGGAGTGTCGCTCGTCCGGGCTGCAGACGGCAACCAGACGACGGTCACCGTCATCAACAGAACCAGCACCATCACCAGCATCACCATCACGGCGGCATACCTCCGGACGTGGTCAGGTCGCTGGTCCGGGGCAACGATTCGGCCGATGAGCTGGATGGGTACCTGATGGAAAAAGCCGACGCGTACCCGAACAGCCTGTCCATCAGCGTCAAGCTGGTCGACTCGGCAGTGGTGGAGAAGGTGCGCAATCTCAGCAGTCAAATGCTCGTCAACATACTACCCACCGGATTGCTGGAGACCGGTAATGAAAATCGTCAATCGTTACGTAACCCGTTAATATACTTACACCCGTTATCATCCCTTATGTTCCGTCTATAATATCTATAATAAGCATGTGATTGTAATACGTATATTTTGTGATGAACGATAATAAACAAAGTATTTACTAGTTTAGATGCTTTTCTAAAAAATATTCTCCTGCATGATTATAATATGATGTACAACAATTTATTATTATAATACCCGAAGATAAAAATATAATGCGTACAATTCACAATAGTATTATAATATTTTCAATCTCGTCGAACGACAAATATTTTTTTTTTACTTTTCGACCTGCTCCCTTACTCGGTCGTTTTTTCGACTGTCGTCGACCTAACGGTTTTCATGAATCGATTAATAATATCAAGCTTTCCGTGTTTTTCAACGCGAATTCGTCCGTGTCGGATACATTATTATTATTATAATTTTTTTGTTTATATTGAAATAATATAATGGTATCGGTTTGTCACGCAGCCCTAAACTGTTGAAAATAATGACCTTTCCATGAATTACGTATGAGAACAATTATTATTATGTGTAGATTGGATCAAACCAGAATTAAATTATAAAGACGTAAAAGCGGTCACGATAACGTATTACCTATATGTTATGTATGGAAGTAGGTATACGAGTAACCATAACCCGATTTACGTCTTTTTTTTTTTTGCCAAATTAATCTTAACAATACATTGTTTTTCTCCCCGTTATTGTAATATTATTGTCGTGTTCCACATAATTGGAGCGTGTTTATGAAAAATTTGTTAATACAACACCTTTCGTAGAGGTGTCTGTTATAAATGAATCCGAATTTCAGACGTCAGATTAAAAATACTCGTCCCTGTGTAATATTTTTCACTTCGATCCGTTTTCATAAGATTTAACACCTCGTCACAGTCAGAATGAGCCGAGAAATTTAAATATTTGACAACGTTCCCAAATTGGCAATTTTCCATAAGGCACGTCGTATGAGTCGTGAAATTTTACTGAATTGATACAATTTAGAATGACAGGTGGAGCTCAAAAAAAGGCAGATCTTAAATGAAAAATAAACACTGAACCTATAATGCGTCAAAAAAAATGAAACAATTCAATTCGTTTAGATTTTAACGTTTGGTGATTAGATTTTTATGACCGGTAGTTCCTAGACTACAATATTATACCTTTTTTTTTTGAACCGAGAACCAGGGTTGGAACTACTTTCAAAGGGCGCATGTAAACTCCGCCACAAGTACCTTTTTTTACTGTAAACTCCGCCAGAAAAAAAAAAACAGGTAAAATTGGGTTCATGTAAACTCCGCCAGTGAAGAAAATCAAATAGTAGTATAAAATTAATATGATATATTATTAAAAAAAAATTATAATATAATATCATATCATATCATATCAATATTTAAATCATAGTATAAAAAATCATAATAAATAATCCAAAATCATATTTTTCATAATAATAATTAATAATTGTCAACATTAAATATACACAAATCATAGTCAAAAAACAATAAATAAATAATCGTCCACATAATATAATAAAATATAATAAATAATTAATAAATAATCGTTATAAATATTGTCATGTATGAAAACTATAATGATGTGATACAATTTGCAAATATTCTAAGTCTTGTATTTCTTTATTAGTATACCTATTCATAGCATCCTGTAATACTGTCATTTTTTTTTTTTTATTTCGAATTTTTTAGCTGATTTACTTGAGATATGCCATTTAGTTTAATATAAGTTTGGGTTTGAAATTCGATAAGAACTTTACTAAAAATGTGAACATTCGGATGACTTTTATAAAATGAATTTCTCAGATGACTATGAAAGGATTCATAGGCATTTGTTGTTCGATTTAAAAAACTTTCATCTCTGATCGTTTTTGGTGCCATCTGAATAAGCGAAGAAATAACTTCAGATCGCGAAGTTGGAACCAGTGGCGTCATTTCAGTTTTCAATAGAGGGGGGCAAAGGTTTTGACCGGCCCGAATAGGTAAAAAAAAAACCGCTCGCTTCGCTCGTTATATTATCTACATTATTTTATGCAACCCTTTTTATTAACTAGGTAATATCATTTTTAAATAGAAGGTGGCAGATATTTTATAAAAAACAATTGTACACCTACATCAATTAAAACTTAAAAGTCTACAAACATAATATAGCAATATTTATTGATAAACAAAAATATAAGTAGCTTATTAAAGGATATCTTCTTTTTTTTTTATTTTATGAAAATATATCAACTGCATCATCTATAAATCAATTTTACCTGATTCATCACTTCTCACCTATACTCTATATGACTATATGTATACAATATATTTTCAAATTAATATTATTTTAAATTATAATATTTATTATTTTTATTGCTTGCTTAGTGCTTACTGGTTTAAGTTTTGTATTTTTATTAAACATACCAGAAATTGTTTTCGATTCTTGAGCGGTTTGCGGTAATTTTATATTTTTAACCGCACCACCCATTTACTTTTTTTTAAAGTCATATTTTGCTCAAATTGAAAGATTAATGTAAACACGCGTCACGAAAAAATAAATTTTAATTTAGGTAGGATAAGGTACACTACAGGGCCAGATTGACCCGGCGAGTTACCGATGTAAAACTCAGCTGGCCGCGACAATTTTGGGCCGTTCAAGTCATGAGGGGCCGCATTGACTAAAAATATGTTAAGAGTTAAAAGTTGAAGAAATGGAGACTATAAAATAAAATAACTATGCACGGAATAAGAGCGTACCCAAGCGCCGCCAGTTTTAAAGTGGGTAGGTAAAGTACGGAAAACTCGGTGGGCCGAATTTGTCCAACCCGGCCCTGGGTACACAACACAATACGCAGAATAGTTGAATAATTTACCATACACGACTGTCGTAACTCGTAAGTTAACTGCGTATGAAGTCTGGTATCAATGGACAATGATAATTAATAAGAGTGCCAATCAGTTGTTGTTTTTAGAATTTGTATTAATTTTAGATTTTACATAGGTAGTATAATATTTTCTGAAAATATTATAAAATAGACATGTTTTTGCGCTGATAAAAAATAATAATGGTGAAACAGCAAAAACTGGGCACCGGCCCTTCGGGCTGCTTTTAAAATCAGACAGGGGCAAATGCCCACCTTGCCCCCCCCCAAATGACGCCA